GTTATGTTCCTCAGATTTAACTTCAGTGGAGCTGTCAGTACCGACTGAAGGAGGCAGAAACCAGGAGGAGGTTTCCACTTTCCTTCTGAAAAGGTTAGCCGCTAACCGGAGGTTAGCATTAGTGAACGGTATGAAACGAGAGCGAGCGAGAGCGCCACTTTCTGGACAGGATGAGTTTTACGTATAGTTGAAAATTCTCTAAAAGTGGATTTTCTGGAACTGTCTGCTGGTTTTGGTCCCTGGTCAAAAGGATAAGGCTGTCGGGGGCCATGGGGGCCAACGGTTTGGGAACCTCTGATCAACAGTAATAAAGGGAACAAATCTAGCAAAATGCAACTTTTTAGCTGTTGAATTAATTTAGTTGTGAACTTGGAGTTTCTGAAAATCCAGAACGGTTGGATTTATTCCTTCAGGTCTTGATCTGTTTGGATGCTGCTGGGTCCATATTTTCAGTCCGTTCAGTTTTCTCCTTTCTAAACGCCATGAATGACGCCTCAGTGTTTGCTGTGCAGCTGCTGAACAATCATGTTCGGCTGTCGGGTTTATTAACGCAGAGATTCCCTACATCCTTCTGCAGCATCAGAATCTCAAAGCTCCTGCAGGACGGCAACTAACCATCACTTTGCAAATCGATTAATCTGTTGATTACTTATTCAATGAACTGATTAATAATCGGATAGTAAAAGGCTCCTTAAAGAAGACTTTTTACAAAATGAAACAAGGTGGAACTAAACCTTTTTCACTTGAGGAGTTCTGGAAAGAGCTTATAGACGAAAAGCTTTTCTATCTTTCTAAAATCTAAAGAGAAGCGTCGTCTCCTGGTCAGACGCTGCGATCCAGTGAAAAGGTGGAGGAAGTTAGAGGGGATTTTGCTGGGAGTTGGAGGGAAGTGGGCTGCCATTCGCCTGGCGTTTGACTGGGAATGGCCATTTTGAATGACTGCTACTGTAAAATCGAGGGCGACCCGGATGAGCTGATGGTACGGATCGATAGAGATCGGGTGGTGACACTGCTTGGCGCGCACACCACAGCAACCGGCAAATGAAATATGGCGGCAGCAGGTGTTTCAGCTGAGGAACATGGCAGCGGTTTGGATTTCACGCCGAGGACGTCAAAGAAAAGGAGCTAATTTGTTAGACTAAAAACCCAAAAGGTAGCAGTACCAATCTATTCAAAAGTCTGCAAAATACAGAATGCTGTAAACTGTCCATGCCAGCGTCTCTCCGTACTCCAATGCTTTTGGCCCTGAGATTTTTTACCGACATCTTTTTAATCAGTTCTGTAGAACTTTTCCTTTCTGAGCCAAACCTGCATCAGTCCTAGAGAACCTGAACCAGAGCAGCGCCGTCTGATCTCACCCTGATGGCGTTCCTGGACGAGTTCTTATCGTCCACGTTGACCGTCAGCGAGAAGAAGACGGCGGTGCTGTAAACCCCCTGCGTCCTGTAGAGCAGCTCGTTGAAGTCTGGCCTCTGGGGGGCGCCCTCCCTCTCCCACCCGGCGGCGCCCGGAGGAGCTCCAGCCAGGTCCCATCCTCCACAGCTGTCCAGCACCTCCGTCATGGGCTCCGACCCCAGCTTATCGATCTCCTGGATGCTGATGCAGGAGCGGTAGAACTCCTTCACCTTGCGTTCTGCGGATTCCGGCCCCCGTCTCTGAATTGGCTCCAGCAGGAGGCGCTGTAGCTTCTCCTCGTTATGCTCTCCGATCGCGGTGATGATGCCGTAGCTGAGCTTGTCCTCTGGGATGCCGTGGCGCCTCAGCCAGCCGCCGCAGGCGAAGGAGTAGAAGTCCTGGCAGGGCTGGATGGTGGGGTCGATATTGGCCTGGACAAAGCGCGCCGCCCGCAGGAGGGAGCGTTTGCGTTGGCAGTCCTGTCGGCACAGCGGGTCCTGCTGGGCATCCAGTGAAATGTACTTGAGGGCCAACATGCTCCCCAGGATGACGCACATCCCTGCAGCAAAGACCAAGGCTGACAGGAGGCAGATCTCCCTCCTGCTCCAGCGAGGAAGGCCCCCGCTGCTGCTGCCGCCGCTCTGATCTTTGCTGCGCCCATTAGACCAGGTCCCTCCTCTTCCTCGCCCCATGTGGCGGTCCAAACTGCCCCCCAGGTGGAGGGTCATGCCGTTGCTGAGGATGTCACTGCTGTAGCGACCGCCGTACTTTATTTCCTGGAACTCGTCGTAGTGGGCGGTTAGTGAGTATGTCTTCTCCATGGCGCAGGAACGGATGGCTCCAGGGAAAACGCTTCCAGCATCAACTTCAGAACGAGGTGGTTAGGATCGCTGTCATCACAGCGCCTTCAGGTTCTTCCTCTTCAAACCCTGCAGTGAAAGCGGCGCCCCTCTTTCTACTTTCTCATCTACTCTCTCTCTGCTCTTCGTCCATTTGTCCTCCGGCCGTCCCTCTTGGCCACCGGTTTCAGCTCATCTGTCAATAAAAACAGAGAGGAGAAAGAGAAGGACTGTGACTTACGACAGAAAGAGGAAATTGAATCCGCATCACGAAAACAGCCTATGACAGAAAAACATCTGCTTTGCCGCATCGGTTCCCACTCTGTTTGTCACCTAGGAGCCGCTAGTCATCCCTCAGGGGAGACGGCGGCTTCAGAGCGCCTGCTGACACTGAGCAACGGGCCGGGCATCAGCTGGGCCGCGCAGCGGCGCCACAATAACCATAACTTGACTGGTGTCAGTCCGAGCTGATGCAAACTAACACGTCTGCAGGGGGACACAGACTTTATTGCCTCTGTCACACCAGCAGGAGAACAAACATATGTTCACATGCTGGCCACCATTTTTAAATCCAGGCTCCAGATTTAGAACCAGACGCGGTCGAGCATTGAACACCAGATGAATGGGGGCCATGGGGGGCCAATTGTTAGGGAACCTCTGATCTACAATGGTAAATAGGGGTGAGTATTGGTGTCACGATACGTGGTTCACCGTATTTTATTACGATACAGCAATATTATATATATATTGCGATATTTTCTATGAAATTAAATGTATAAAATAAAAAAGGAAGTGCTGTATTTGCTCATCAGAACATATTGATCATTTAGTTATTCTATATAGAAAAATCAGCAGGGTCTATATATCCGCCATTTTATTTTCCCATTTTAAAGTAAATGATGTCCATGCAACAAACAGAAAATCTAAATGTTCGGTTTTTGGGTTTATTAACTTTTTTCACTTGAGGAGTTCTGGAGGGAGCTTACAGACAGGAGGAAAGCTTTATTATCTTTATGCAAAATGTTTACATACTGATTTTATAGTCTTGGTTTAATTCCTGCTCTGTCAGCTAAAGGCAGGTTTTAGATCAGGGGAAACCAATTAAAAATTATTGGGGTCCGAATAAAGAAAATCATCAACCAGACATTTTTAATGATAATCTGAATTTAACAAAGCTGATTCTGATGATTGCAGTTCAGCTAAAACCTGTTAATCAGCTTTCAATTAAAATCAGCTGCTGCAGCAGGAAACCTCTAAAACCTGCAGGACAGAAGCTCCACCCCCACTGCCTCCACTCTGAGAAAGACCCTTAACCCCACCCTGCTCCCTGGGCGCCGCACAATGGCAGCCCTCTGCTCCTCAAGGGGAGGGGTTGAATTCAGAGCGGGAGTTTCGTTGCTCTGTAATGGTGACGGAGGAATGACAATAAAGTCAGGGGGAAAAAAAACAGGAGAGGAGATTGGATGAGGGACGCTGCTGCTGCCAGAAAACGCTAAGAACCGACGTCTATAAGGTCTGGTTTCCATCATACGAACATCTGAATTTCTACCTCAGGCCTTTCTTCTTTTCTCCATGTTGATAAACCTCACACTGCTAAATATTTAAATCTTAATAATTATGCATTTTTTTTTAATTGAGGAGGCAAGTGAGACACTTTGCTAATGGAACAAGAGAATTTATTTAAAATAGGTAAAAAACAAAATTACATTTTCTTATTTGAAGTTCATATTAATTTAATTATCTTAGGATTTAAATTACTAATTTCAATGCAAATAATCTTATTTACCTGCTTGAATTAAGGGTAAATGCATAAATTTCAATTATTTCTAGATCATTTTTGCAGTGCAATGATCCAAAACCTAAAATTCCCAACAGAAGGAAACAACGGGCCGATTCAATCATCTGAAATGTTTTCATGTTTGCTCTTTTATTTTGGAGCCCAAACCAACTAAATGAATGATGGCGTCTAAAATGTCCACATGGCAGCAGGAGATGAACAGCATCCAGGAAGTGACGGGCATCCAGGAAGTGACGGGCATCCAGGAAGTGACGGGCATCCAGGAAGTGATGGGCATCCAGGAAGTGATGGGCATCCAGGAAGTGATGGGCATCCAGGAAGTGATGGGCATCCAGGAAGTGATGGGCATCGTTTGGGATGACTGCAGTTAGAGAACAGGCCTGAATGATGCGTTCTATTAATCTAGGGTTACAGGAAGTAATGACTGCGTGTTTCTTCCTGCTGAAAGCTGTGAAGCCAGTTTATAAAAATTGATTCTTCTTATCGCCGTGGAGATTAAAGACGTTCGCTGTGTTTTACAAGCTGTTCCTTGTTTCTCTAAAGCGCTGCATGAAGATAAGGAGAATAAGAGGATGATCGGGTCAACGGCAGAATGCAAGAAAATTCTAGATTCA